GCTCCGTCGATGCCACGCGGATTCGTTTATCAAATAATAATTTTCTCTACATGGGGAGACTCTTACTACGTGGGCCTCAATGGAATACAACTATATGATAATTATGGAAAAGAAATCAAATTAACTGCAGATAGTACGTTCAGCTTACGTTCAGTTTCAGCAAAACTCTGCGAGAGATTTAATGACAAATTTAATTTTATGCAATCTCTGCTTCTCTAAAGGAAAAAAACAAAAAAATTGAAAACATGAACAGGAAAAGAAATAAAAGAGAATTTCTAATTATAATTTCTATTTGAATTTATATTGATATTTATCAATGTCTCAATCCTGCCGTTAATGCCGATCATCTCTTGTTAGATGTAGCCGCATTTCCCGAAAGCGTCAACATAATAGAAGGAATAGACAACGACATTCGTACGCCAGACAAACTTATTGATGGGATAAATGATATTCGAGATGGACGACATGCCTGGCTGGCTCCTATACTTCCTGGACAAGTAAGCGGAAACGAACCGTACAAGATAATAATAGTCAATTAATTTCTATTTAATATTCCCGATATGCGTTTCTCAGACAAATCGCGTGTATTTAATATTTTATCATCCCATTATGGTATCAATGATCAAAATCTGGAATTATGGAAAAACCTCACAAAGGAGAGTTAAAGAATTTGCAGTAAGAGAAACCAATTGCATTACACACAAGTATCACTGATAATTCTCCAATTTGTTTAAATTGTATTAAAAAAAACCATATTTATATTTGTAGATATTAGTAGATGACTTGCTAGTTTACAATGGGACATTGGATAAACATAACTCATATGGATTAGTAACATTTGTAAAGGAAAACAGCAATGAGAATCTAGTAAACCGGTAAGTCAATAAAAGCAATGTTATTTGCCAACAAGTGACAAAAACACAAAAAAATTTACTTGTTGCATACATATATATCATACAAATTGTAGTTCAGAGCAAGAGGGTCTTTTAAACTTACGAAGAAATACCTCGGGCACTAATTCATTACCGGATCCATCCCTTCGCCCGCATACATCTTTACAATTTAAATAATCGTAATGCTATAGATATTTATTAATACATATTAAAATATATTTATATTTTTATACTTACAGACTACTGAGACAAGACTTTCATCTTTATATTAGTGTTCCGTTTAAATAATTAACGGCATTAAAACACACACACACGCGCACACACACACACACACACACACACACACACACAATGTCCCGAAATTCGACATCATTGCAGCGTGAAACTTTGTGAAAAATTAAGTGATAAAAGTGTAAGTCATTTTTCTCCGTAAAGTAGTTTTTTAAGTATAAACGTTTAAAGTTTAACTATAATAGGACAGTGCACGTGGTAATATTTTTGTTTAGTATCTAATACCATTGCATGCGCACATCATATGGATATGATTTTTTAACGCTTTGCAACGCGCTCATAATTATTAGTTAAACTTAAACATTTATATTAAAACGTTTTATATTAAAAATCTACTTCACGGAAAAAAATGATTTACACTTTTATCACTTAATTTTTTACGAAGTTTCATGCTACAATAATATATTACCCTCAAATTTCGGGTCAGCATGTATGTATACAATATACACATACACGCGCGTGCGCGCAGGCACATTGTGCGGTAAAAACGTAACGATATTTACGGATATATTCCTAAGAGCATTTTGAGACAGAAAATTCTAATACCAAAATGTCGAGAGTATAATAATTTTTAAATTTATATAAGCACTTAAAGTTATGATGAATATCATACCCCCTAAAGTTTATACGCGCTTAGATACGGCTGGATTTTTCGTTGTATTACATCCGATGAACTTTATGATTCGATAACTTTTATTAATTTATTTATTAAAGCCTCGACATTTTAGTATTAAAATTTTCGTCTCAAAATAATCTTAGGAATTTACCTAAGCATAATTGTTACGATCTTTATCAAACATCCTATATGCATCAATGTGTAATAATATTCATGTATTATCGTATATTTCAGCAATAACTATATACGAATATTAGATGTACAAAATAATTTTCTCGTAATTCTTGTAAAAATAATGAAAATAATGGGGATATAAAGATTATATATAGTCTTTGATTAAACCGCAAGCATGAATAAAATATATATATATTATATACTCGTATATACACACCAAATATATTACATGTTTCGGATGTTTCATTTCTCCTACACTCTCGATGTGAATTACGTGACATGTTCAGTTATGAAAGTAATTATACTCATGGTCTTTTCGTCGTTTTGTCAATGTATAGAAATATCTACTTGTTCCATTCCCTTGTCTTGAGGTCCAATATGTTCCTCGCTTTCGAGGATAGTTGTTTCAAACACTCTT